TCTCGTGTAGTAATTAATGTCACTATTTAACAATATGGCTCACTGCTTGAAAATAGTGGGTGTATGAGATGCAGGTGATAAGTTTCGGTGTTCCTGTTTTGGGTGGTACGTACAGTGTATCCCTCTGTATTCTTTTGTTGCTTTCAGTAAGACCCGTGGTGCAGTCAGCAAACAATGCATTGATATCAGATTGACACACAGGGTCTCCTTTGTGATTGTCTCGCAAACAAACCAGTGTCTGTATATTGTCACTGTGTGATAGTGGTGAAGGGGGTCAGAGCCTTTAATAATAAAAAACAAACAATAATAATGATTTTAATGACAATAAAAGCGATAAAAAAATTCCCATAAGCATTCCTTCTATCCCATAAGCATGGGTGTTTGAATCGACCCACTGGTCTGTGTATGACACAAGTAATGTGTTAATGTTGAAAGTAAGTGTAATGACCCTTATAAGCACACTGGAAATCTCAAATTCGACATATATTATATGGAAGACTTTCAGTATGGTAATATGGAAACGAATTTCTGTCAACTGGCTGTGTGCGCGTTACTTTCTTACGTGTATTTCGGACACACAAATGAAATAACCATGCACATATGAACTGCAAAACTCAGTGTAAATGTTAAGAAAATATAATTAACTATGAGAAAGATTTTTGTTTGTTTGTTTATGTTTTTACAAGTATATAATGTCTGTCAATATCTCAACCCTTAGAAGTTCTACTTATGTCAAAGATTTGCTTGCATTCGACTATTAGAAAACTCTTCAAGGAATTTTCTAAGATCAACCCTTTCAACACATTTTCGCCTTATTTATACATTAAGCGCGATAAGTGTTGAAATTGACAAAATTCATCAGTGTCATTCATGACCACATGAAAACATCTGATTACTTTCTAAACGTTTGCTAATTTCTTAAATTATGTACACTCTGGGGTCCCAAAAAGGACTTTATCCCTTTTGGTGTAGTCAATGAATATTATCAAATATATCTAGCAAATGTATACACAGATTTTGAACATAGATTATCTCCCTTTATGTAATCTAAATAATTACATCAAGCAAATGTTCTTATGGTGATGAAAGCCGTTGAAATAGGAAGATTTCTAAATATTTTGTTTGATAAGATAAAGACAAACCCTACTCTAAGGCTCCTTCAGTTCTATTTTGTAGCTGTCTCCACAAGGAAGAGTTCTGAAATGTTATTTCTGTTATGGTATCCCGATATTTTAAGTGTCGCGTACAAATTTAAGACCATCAAAAAAAATGGAATTATTTCGATTCCATCTTTGGAAAAAAAATATAGTAGAACATTGTCAAAAGTGAAGAACGTCGATATTTGGAATTGGAATACGACCACATGCATTGAACACGTTAGTCTCTCGTACAGACCCTGAAGCAAATATATCCAAGAAAGCCCACGCAAGTCTAGAAAATGTGGCAAGTCTAGATTTCCTCAGCTTCAAAGAAAATGAAGAAAGTCTCAGGGCTCCTTTTCATTATATATAATTTTTTTTACTATGAACGTTTTTTTCAGTAAAATATGTTCATTTCAGAGACTAGTTGTTAGTCTATGAACACGTCAACACCATCCGATCCAGTTGGCCGCCTCTTACGACAAGCGTGTGTTCCAGAAGACTAATTCTAACCGGATCGGGGGTTTCAATGTCATAGCGAAGAATATAACAAAATATAGAAGAACAAATATAGCGCAAAAACAAAAACGAAAATACGTTACAGCAAACTGCTAGCATTCCTTTTCCAATATCTGACGCCACACTGAAATATTTTTGTAAATATTGCTCATATTTCTAACAGATTCTTGTTCATATATTGTGGATTATGAAGTCGGTACACGAACTGCAATGGCCTCATCAACATATAGGGTTAGTGAAAGGGATATAAATGAAATTATGTCAAGTAAACATAAGCAACTTATGTGTCCTTCAGAGGGATTGTGAAACTCTTTGTTTGTTTGTGTTTCTAGCACCAACGTGATATATTTTAACGATATACTTAACAATGTCGTTGTCCATCGCTCATGACGCTACATACGACTTTACGTGACTAAGTGGATATTCATATTTCTGTAATTATATCAGAAAGAATATAATTGATATATATCAGTAATAATGATATTGTATTGCCACTACTCTGTTTAGGTAGTGCATGTTTATGCAAAGCTTCTGTATATAAAAAATAACCGTCTCGACAGACTGTCGACAGACTGCGTTAAAATGATTAAAACAATTTATTAGGAGAACATGGTCCGTCATTTCTCACATTTTGTGGGTTATTTTGAAAATAATTACTTTAGATAAATCCCAAAACAAGCAAACACCAAAATAACATTTACCAGTTTCAACCGGTTTTCAAAGGCAAACACATTAAATACATTGTATTGATTTACCCGTAAATCTAATATCCAGAAGAAATATACATCCACAACATTTTTGTCAGTTAAACAGTTCCAGTGTCGTATATTCCTGACAACATCAGTGTCAGTGCCAGACAGTGGACAATGGTCTCTGTTTATGATATGACGGTATGGGTTACCTGATACCTCATTAGGCTGGACCATCTACCAATGTATAGCAACTTCTTGCACATGGGGAATGTCAGCAATTCCCTGCTACACTGTTGGCGAGGATACAGACATACACAAACACCGGCAGCAGCAATATGGTCATCGCTAGCTGTCATTACTGACACCCCGTGACGGTGATTGATGAGGACTGGGAGGAGGGGGCTCCCCCTGAGGAAGATCAGGAGGAGTATACCTGTTGCATGATTCTAATTAACAACCTCGGCGGGGATGCTGACTAATTATTTGTTCTTCTTGCCCCGTGGTATATTTACTATCGTGATCGGTTTTGCAGGGGATAGATGACCGTAGTTAACAATACTAGATTACGTTGAAATAATATCGTAATTCATACAAACAAACATTGCCTGTATTTATGGGCCTGAGGTCTTTTTACGGAATATAAAAATATCTGTCATCTGTGATGTCAAATTGCGTTGTGGAGACTGTTTATAGTACCACACTGAATAAAATAATATTGTGAAATCATGAAATATCTTTTGTAATTGTAATGACAGGGGAAAGGTTTACACCTGTTTTGGATGGTGGCGAAGGATGAAATAATCACGGAATGGTTATTTCACGGTAATGTATTTTATATGGGTATCATATGTGTGCTTTGGTCCTGATGCGTTCAGCGTTTCGGTGACTGTATATTGTCTAGTAACGTTTGATAAAATGGTTTAACTGTTTGGTAAAACCAGTGTGCGAAATAGTTTCCAAATCTTGCTCACCAATCGGGCTAGCTATGCCTGAAAGTTACTAGCCCACAAAATCATTCACTACCCCGAAACTAAGCAAAAAGTTACAAAAAAGTAAAATACCATCATTTATCAAGCCGTAATATTGCATGATTTAAAAGTGTATTATTACTTAACAAGTCGGCGAGAGTGATATATTTTCAAAACTGAAAATTAACTAGCCAGTCGGGCCATGGGGACTATGGGGATTTACTGGCCCGACTGGATTTTTACTAGCCACGGGCTATCGGGCCAGTGGCTATTTCGCACACTGGACCGTAAAACGCAATTTTCAAGTGCATACTTTCTTTTAACCAGTAGCTTATATCAGTGTCTTTCTTTTGGAGAAGGCATCGCAACAAAGAAAGGAAAGTGTCAAAATATTTTAACCGCACCAATAGATGTTGTAAATATGGAAGTCTGCCATATCTATTGATCATCGTCCATACAAATGCCTGGAAATTCAGGTCTCATTGTCACATTTATGAACCTCAACTTTTGTTATCTCTGCTTAACAAACAAACGGTATGAATTGCTAATGAAATCGTCATCTGTCAGTATGATGTTTAAGTTCGTCTGTAACTCTACCACAGTGCGTGAATGTTATAGCATTGGATATTTTAACCTCATCATTTCTGTCTACAAACAGAATATGTTCCAGAAATGATGTATTGGAAGATAATACTCAAAAGACCGATTGACCCCCCTAATGATCTGCTAACCATTCCAGAGTTCTCAGTTATGCAAGTCATGTTCCTTATCTACCCCCAAGTAAATAATCAGTTGCCTGCGTCTGTGTATTCTACCAACAGTTAGAGGGACACCATAGTCTATTGTACAGACCTATATACGTTTACAACCATCACCTCCATCCCATTTGCTCCCCCCGAGCCCGAGCAATGTATTGTAATCCCTTTTCAGCTCGAGGGAGACACGTGGATTCCCATATACTCCAGGGCTCCTATATGTTATATTATTATTTGAAACCGTAACTTCATTTTGGGAACCATATGTTAATCTATTGAATCCCATTCTACTGTCCATGAGAAAACTTCTTCAACCGAAGTGATTTATCCGTCTTACTCTGAAAATAATGTGTTTAAGGTTTGATAAAAAATAAACATGGGAATGATCAATAAAAAAGAGATCTGTGGCCTGCAACATATCAATATCCCGAACCCGTGCATCCTTTGTCTGCCCCCTTAAGTATCCCCCTGCATAAAGTATGCATGATGATCCATCTACCAGCTCTCTCTGACACCGGTATGCACCTTGCACTGTGGCAGGTATTCCCCGACCCCAGGAGCCGTGCCATATCCACTTGTAAAGATGCCTTACCCTGCAGGGGGACAAGGAGAATCTAGCATGTAGATAGGTAATTCTTTTCCAATGGAGGGGGAGGGGGACTTAATCAGAAGAAATCTTATGTCACCAGTCAACGGTAGGCCGAGGGTGGTGGATAGAATCACTCGACATCGCTTCCATGTGATGAGAGCTGGGGGGTTAGTAGACAACCCTGGCACAACCCTCTCTGAACTCCGCTCCTCCCAGAACTGTCAGCCAGAATCCCATCCCGACCAATCAGCACCCAGGTGGAGCTTGGGCAAACCCAGGAAGCAGAAAGGAGTTTAAATCTCTCATTTGTCAACTTTATTGCCTCTTTATCGCTTCAATTGGCCGGTATAGCCAAAGACGGTACCCTAGGAACATTTATCTGGCAGAGTGAAGTCTTCTCCTTGCTTGTCCCCATGCTAATGGACGTGACGAACCCGCTGTCTCCAAGAGCTAACGCGTTCTCCATCGCTTCGCTCATGTCAGGACCCGGTGCGGAAGCAATGTTCATGGGAATACCCCCTCTTGTCCCACCACAGAGGAGTACAGACTGTTACTTTGACTGGAGCCAAGGAGGAACATACCCGACTGTCAAGACAATGGAAGGTGGGTATTGTGTGGACAGAACCGCGTCATCCCGGCTCAAAGGATGTGTCGATTACACTAATGCTTTTGTGGGGTGTTTGTAAATGCTTTGACGTCATTTTTCAGCAGTTTATTAATGATGTGCAGTTTACTATATGCATTTACAAACTTGTCAGATTAAGGGATATCTACCAACATTATTTTAGCCACAGACGTAGTTGATGTCAGTATTTAGTACTATCACCTGTAAAGGTTGACATTTTGATCAGCTGTATAGATTATTATTGATTATAATTAATTACGTATAATTAGTCACTTTACGTGTATTTTGTCGCCTGTATTGAATAATGTCTGAAGATTCTAATATCAAATTCCCTTGTAAGGCTAAGGCTACATGTTTTCATGAAAAGAATATCCTTATGTTTCATAATTATATAACACCACAAAATATTTCCCTAAATTATAATAATTCCACTTAAATTAGAGTCCATCGTACGATTCCGACTATATCATATACTGGTGTGTATTACTCATTATCGAATACTGATGATACAACGTGTTCGCGAAGGGAAAAGTGTCCAAGCAAGTCTATGTCACATATATGTCGCTCAATTTGTCACCTTGAAATATTTTTCTTGTAATGTGTAATGGACTAGTCTCCACATTTATTCATCTGCAAAACACACAAACCATTCATCACTTCAAATAAGAATCCCATCTCCCCTGAGAACTAAAAACTATCTGCAAACCAGCGAACCTTCGCATGTAACCCTTTACGGGCAGAAGGAGATCCAATTTAAAAGCGCTGTTTCTAATTGAGCGTGTAACGTAACAGAACATAAATGTTTAGGAATATAAGGGTAGCGATCCGCGACATCTGCTTCGGGGAAAACCAGAAGCTTTCTGGAAACGACAAATATTTCAAGATTTAGATATGTTAACATGGAAAAACAACCTGCTTTGGAATTATTTTAAACGCTTCAAAGTTATTGTAGCTGCTTTTAATAAGAGTCGGAATGTATCAGTTCTTCAGATGATGTACACATTTATAATGCTAATATGTTCGAAATATAATGGAAGATATTATGGGAATTGTTTTATGGTCTTGTTTAGTTATGTTCGAATAAAAATTGTTGAAAGTAAAAACAATTTCGTTTCAAATTTTGTAGACACTCTAGTAAAGGACAGATTTTAAGATTACTTCACACAAGGTACACATGCGTAAAGGTGATATATTTTAACATAACGGAGCAAATTATGAAAGTGGTATGCACACGCTTCTTTAGATATGATAGAGTGAAAGATGTTATGAGTAAAATGATGAGTTGACACATTAGTAAAGACCAGAACAGAAGATTACTACAGATGATGTACACATACATAGTTGTGATACATTTTAAATATGAAGGAACCTAATAGTACATAATATTATATATTTGAGCTCTGTTCTCAATATAACATATGACATGTTTTATATTGTTTCTGGATGGTATTGTAAACGGTAAACGTGAAGAAGATCATTTCAGAAGATCTATAGGGGAATAATGGTGATATAGTGTAAATACAAGGAACCATATTATAACATCTGTATTTGTGCCATTAATCAGTCATTTTCTGATTAGAAAAATACCTCTTCCTCATAATACTGATTGTTGAAAACACCTATGTTATGTCTCTTATAGCAGTATTTGCTTTTTCAAAAGTGTTGATAATAATGACGATTATTCATTATTTTGCTAAATATATGAACGTCAACAGCTGAAATGGACACATTGTCATGACATTTTGCTGGACGCTACAATTTACATCAATATTACTGTTTTGAGGATTACTCCCCGCAAAATTTAGTTTCTTTAACTTTTCATCATCAACTTTTCTTAAAGGTATAATCCGTTGTAACCAAATAACTACATCGAAATTACGGTACGTGTTATTTGTTTCAGTGAAATGTTCTTTTGGGTATACTCAAAACAAATGTGCATTTCATATACTTATTAGAAAACTGTACAATTTACCTGTTGTATTTACGTCAGTTTGTAAATTTCAATATTATGTAAATGAAGTAGAGATTATACATCACCGAAAGAGGTTTCTGATGTTTACATATTATATTTCTTACACAATTTATTATATATAATTATTATATATAATCAATAAGTCAGTAGAAGTCAACCTCGGAGATGAAGCAGTCTCGACTGTTCTGGGAAACAGTAAAAAGAGAAACAGTAGTGAAATTTATTTGACAGCTGTAATACCTGTACAATTGCGTCTTATTATCTGAAGCGTGTCTTCTCAAATTCCAACTTGAATGTTACATTGTATCCTCGGGGATCAAAATAAATGTAATATTATAATAGTGCCATATATGTCTAAGATAAAGTCCGCTGCTATTTTTGTTAAGTGTTAAATTATCGTTTCCATATTTGTTGAAACTTTATCTGCCATACACATGGACATTTCCGGTTTACAATACAGGGCCCCGTTTCACAAAGCTCTCGTAAGCCTAAGATCTCGTAACTTTTCTCGTAGCATTCGAATCTCCTATACTGTAACATAGGAGGTACGAATGCTACGAGAAAAGCTACGAGATCTTAGGCTAACAAGAGCTTTGAGAAACAGGGCCCAGTTTTGTTATTGTATTTAACATTGCTGTCACTGCCTGATACTTGTATAGTTTCCTTAGATATGTGTAGAAAATGACATGGCGCTCCCAAGCACGCGGGAAATTGTTGATATACTAGTAGTTTCTTCAAAGAAATTATATTTGAAATATATGGATATATGAAGTCCATTTAGTAAATATACTTTGATTTTTTATTATTATTTTTTGTATTCTAGTGGATATAATAAAATATTAAGTTTTTAATCATATTCCTACCCTTACATTTTCTGGACTGTTAAGAACATTGTTACCATATCATCAGTGGACAACGGTAATGTTTTCACAAGACATGTATGCTTCACTGACATGATATCAGGAAGGATTTACACGTTTCCACCAATATCAAACTCTGTGCGTAATGATGGGTCAAATCACTGTGAAACTGTTACAGTATAAAGTATCTGCTATTAAAATGCGTACAATGTCACATATATTCCATTACTTTCAGAAATCTACATGAAATAAACATTTACAGCTAAGTAATAACTGCAAGTCAACAGAATCTTGTGAACATTTCTTGGATCAGATTTTATCTTTTGGTATAATTTGTCAACAAAAATTGTCGATTACAATATATTGCGCATTGCGGGTTATATTTCCGACATTTTTATCAACAATAAGGACCGTTTACTTCCAATAAGGACTAGTCATCGGTGCCATGTCTATTTGGGCAGCAATGAATAATGCATTTGATGTAATTGTTTCAGTGCAGATCACAATTATTGAGCGAGTTTGCTCCTTTATATCTGCTGCCATATAGCTGGAATTATATCTGCTGCCATATAGCTGGAATAAAGCCGAGTGCGGCGTTAAACAACAAACATTCATTTATGAGTAGCGGGTTGTAACGGTAGGGCAGTACATGCAAACCCTTTCACAGTAATCCCTCTGTGTACATGTTCTTTGCATTTTGGGCCCGATGGAATCTGTTTCAACAGATAATGGAGGTGTTGAATGAGATATTTCATTCTGAACTGTACATTTGAGTCATTTGGCAGAAAATATCCTGAGAAAACAATAACCTTCATTTCATTTAAATGAGTATTGAGAATTGAGAAAAGTAACTAGTTCGTAAATGAACGCAAATATAAAATTCAGTCTGTATTATGCTGGTGACAAAGAACACCATTTCCCAACAGAAGATTCTCTCAATGCTTCTCGTAGTGGTCTGAAGTACAAGGTGCTAATCAGTCAGTACATGTGTCTTGCACTCTGTTCCCCAGGCCAGCGGAATAATCACAATCTCGGACAGTGACAGTAAGTGGGGGTGACAGTATCCTGATACGTGGATATTTATGTTCGCAAGCCTACATTTGCTTCTAAGGAATGCCCTGACTCCAATCTGCTGCAAATCAAAACATCTGTTTATTTAATACGCTAAAGAAGTAAATGTTTCCATTTGACTGAATACATATGGGTTTTTTTCTGTGAAATTGTATCTATTTTAAAGAATAACAACAAATATGGCTAGCATTATTTCAGATACGTCTTTAAGTCTAATTGTCAGTATATCTATGCACGAGTATTGATAATAACTAGAATATATTTAGAACCTGTATGGTTTCATTTGTAAATCAGGTCTATCGCACTATAAATATCACTGTCTGTGCACGCATGAATCTGAACAGTATACTTAGCGTTTCGTAATGAAACTGATCATTTATTTTTACAGCACTAACAACTAACTATTCACGACAGCCTAAAGATTTACTTTTAGCATAATATTATAAGAATATCAACTGAAATACGAAATTGAAAATATTATCGAGCTCAAACATCTAACAAAATCATAGACAACAAATACCAAATACGTTGCATCAATATAAGCATGTGTCAATCTCATTAATGAAAACTGAAACGCACTACATTGTTCCTTATAATATATTTGTTGGTACGAACTTAATTAATGGATCGCTAAACTCAATATACTTATATTGTCTACGGCTGGAATGTAAACATACTGTAACATGCGCTCAAATCCGTTTACCTACAAACTCTAAATTTAAAAATTCAACTGGGCTTTTATATATTACTGTAAATGATATTACAAACAACCTTCCAGATAAATGTTTCATTCATCAAATGATGAAATCATGCACTCAAAAAACAGTTCCGTGTAAATTTCTTAGGACAAGGCGTGAGGCCATTCAGAATAGGCATACACACTTAGAGTCTCCTGGCTTTGACCTGCTCAGATAAGAATATATTTTTTCAGGCTTATCACTTTAAAGCGAGAACAGATTGAACAAAGACGATGCAGATAGCGATTAACAGGCCATGTTTTAACGAGTGACGATAGACGTCCAGCTACTGATGCTGCGGTTTGACATCCTCGGTCTAGAATATGTGAATGCAGTCACGTTTTGATTGAATGCTATTGTTTTCTTGCAATATCGTACGTGGAAGGATGTTAGTTGTGCAGAGAATGAATTTGAAGCTGGTTCATTGACCGATAACACACATTGTGTAACTGAAGGGGATTTTCTTGTATTTCTGTGTTGAAATTGGTGGAAGTTCTGAGTACTTAGAAAGTACCAGCAAAAAGGAGTGACATACTGAAATGATACGTTACGTTATCTTTTATCTACAGCACATATGCTACTGAAAATCACAATGGCTATCAAATTCTTATTTAATACATTTGTTAATTCGTCATACCAAAAACAAGAACGACCTTAGATTCTTTCACGTAACTATGGTTAAACTGTCGTACCAAAACATGAACCACACGATTCTTTCATATTATTATTTTTACATCGTCATAACAAAAACATTAACCACAAGACAGTTCTTTCATTCATATTAATATTCTTAAATTGTTATGCGATTTTGGATTAATTATAGTTGAATAAAAGAATTGAATAGTTTTTAATTTTCTATTGAGTAGTATGTGACGAATTCATTCACTAAACTCCTGTTCAGAACTTTTTACGAAAAGGGCATTCCATCCACAGAAGTATGTTGCAATGTGGCTGTTGATAATCAGTAGGTCGGCATATTCTGAGATTTGCATTATGCGATTTATATATTGCAAGACAGGTGAGGCCAGGTATGAAAAAGGACAAGAAAGAAGGTGGGGGACAGAGAGAGAACATGCTGTGGACATGTAGTTTTTAAGCTACACAAACAACCATTCCACGCAGTTACAATGATACACAGATACAGCAGAATATTTATGCACCATACTGGAAAAATGCTTTAAATTTGTTTACAGAAACATTACGTTGAACCCTGTATTTCCGTGTTGTTCACCATTGTATTAATGTAACAAGGTTATATATATAACAGTAAATGTTTGACTTTGTAAAAGCACAGATATAACACAGATTCCGTTTAAAAATGCTTGTATTAGGTGATATATATGATGTGTTCTTCTTATATACAGAAACACACCTCGAAACCGATATTTCCGTATTGTCCACCATTGTACTAATGTAACAATGTCAAGTATATAACTGTAAATGATTGACCTTGTAAAACCACAGGGATAACACAGATTTTGCTCTAACGTGCATATATTGGTGATATATACTGTGTTTCTGTTGGCGTTAACAGAACGAACACTTACGGAACACATTTATGAAACAAATTGGCCCACAGCCGGTAATGGCGACCCAAATTGGCCTATACTGGCGGTGATGTCAATGTTAAGTAAATAGTCGCCGTGACACAACGTATTAATTTTAATGTGTGTCTTTCAACGCCATATTGTGCACTCCAAGGTTTATTTATGCTTAACATCTGCGGTTAAACAGACCAAGGTGAAAGGAAATATATTTGGGAACAGTTTGTTTGTTGTTAGATGACATAGATGTCCTCAGAATAGCTAATTCAGCACAAAGAATGGGTTTATATCGGATATCAAATATTTAAGTATTTCATTGTTAAGTAGCAGTTCGCAATAGAAAATGAATAACAATTATGATAATACTAAATGGTAATTGTCATTCGTTTTCATCAATCTGTTGAAGCATGCTTAGAGCGCTAATATAACCTGATCAGAGGATGAGCGCCGTTCACGCTGTAATTCTGCTCCATAGGGAGTATAGGATTATCAAACCAAGATGGATCAATAATTAAAATTACTATGAACCACCTTGTGAAATCCAGGATCTGACAAGGACCCAGCATCATATCATTCCTTGCACGAAGACACCGATAACGCTAGGGGGAAAGAGGACGGGGAAGGGGGGTTCCATGACTTCATTGACTGCATCACATCGTGGCCCGTTTGTCTGGTAAAGAATTGGAAGCTGGAATAATGCTTACTGCTGCGTTAAACAAACAAACAAACAATACCTTCCAAACCCAAAGAAAGAGCTATCAGTTTCAGTAATGTTTACCACAAATGATTTCACTGCTTATTATGTTGTGTGTTACGATGTAAGTGACAATATTTGTTATATTCTAAAATACAATCTCGTGCTCTAATCAAACAATTCATACACCACTGACTGTTCAAAATTGAAAATGCTTGTCCATCCAAAACGCAAATTTGATCTGCATATGTAAGGCTATTTATATCACAATTTTCGTACCATGCGCGAGTGTCATCAACATTCTGTGGTTAGCTTCCTGAAGAAGTTTTCACAGTGGAGAATGAATCTGAAAGGCATTTTGGTTCCTAGGTTTGATATATGTTGCCTGTGATTAGTGCATAGTTTATTGTGAATCCGTCCTCATTCTTCAAAATTACATATTCAAAAATCTCAAAAAGCTTGTTCAAATCAGATATTGTTAAGTTACATTATTAACTGCTGTAGGCCTACATTGCCATAAGGTTACCACATGAACAAAATGGAAATGAAACGTTTACCATTGTAACAACATGTATATACAATTAATTGCAGCAAATATGTCTTTACTATTATAAAAGTTATGACAGGCATGTGATATAAAAACATGAACCTGTATTTCAATATTCATGTATCACCGATAAGTTAAGAAACAGTGGCAAGAAAAATGACATAATGGTAAAAAAATGGTCATGTATCATTGTAATTATGACACCAGGTGTCAGCGAAAGGGGTGAGTATGTATAGTAGCATTCCTGTTGGTGTGTACATGCACATTCATCACTCAGGCAGTGACAGTGTAAAGTACCGACGATGCAGTATAGTGCATTGTCTGCTTAGATAATCAGTTCTGGAAAAATACAGTTCCAACGAAACCTACTTAGCAGTTGTTAATGAACCAAATCACATTCTGAAATTACAATGTACAACAGGATATGTACTTAGATTTTGTGGCAAAACAATACATTTTATGTCAGTTAGCTCCACAAATGTGTGTGTGTGTGCGGTGGGGTCGGGGAAGGTTGGGGAAAAGACTAGTAATGTTTTGGTAACTTCTTTGAGAGGCATTTAGACGTTGGAGCAGTAAGAAAGGAATGGCAATATATGGATGAACAAATTATGTTCTTCAATTGTTTCATAAGGGTGTTTGAACCTACACCGTAACGCCCATCTCACTGCAATAAGGAAGTTGTTCATGCAAATATTGCTACCCTTCCTTATACTTTGGTAGACTAACCTTCAGTCTCTTGAAATGTATTTGTTTTCATAAACGAACAATTCCAGTAAAATTCGAAAAGTGAATATTGTGACGCTCTGCCGAATATCTGGACTTCGAGTTATAGCATGGCAGTAAAGGCTGAGAGGAAGGATAAATAATATCGTTCGGGGACTGAAGGATGGTCATGTTCTTTAATACCCATGAGTACTGCATGTGTTGCATATGTCAAAGAGACAGAGCGCTAAACAGCAGATTGTGTACGACTGACTGTGAAGTTCCTTACACTATTTGCAGTAGTCTTGTTTGTACATCCGCATGATACATATTCCTGAATTTTGACCCAACCCATACATTTCAGCATGTCTCCTCAACACAAACGCCGGCAGAGCGTTATACGACGTCGCCAGATACGACTCGCAGCAAGAACATCCAGGCTGTCGTCTTTCTTCTCAAGATACAGACCTTAACAAACCTGAACTGGATTCGAACTCGGACAAAGCTGGCAGCCCAACATCCTTCAAGTCCGAATCCCCTAAGAAACCTCTACACCCCAAGTTAGCCAATGTTTCCGTACAGCTGGAGATGAAGGCTTTATGGGACGAATTTGATGAACTCGGCACCGAGATGATCGTCACCAAGGCAGGGCGGTAGGTGCTGTCGTAATGACCACAACGTTGCTAAGCTACGCGTGCATGGTTAGTTGATAGACGCAATTGCACGGTTTTTTTAATGCTGTTTCGAGGAAGACATTTTCTTTATTATTGTGCCATTGTGGTTTACATGCTTGAAACAAACTGTACGTTTGTATGAATATTTAGTACAATGTATGAAATCCATATCTGGTAACAACTGGCGTGATTGTGCTGGAATATTTGTTATGTCGGCGAAAAGCATACTCCTACACTTCAAAACCACACTAACTTAAATGCATTTACTATTTCTAATATTTGTAGGCTTAATACCTTTAACAGGGCAAGTCTTATCTACAAGATTGGAATAAAAATGTTAAACGGGAAATGGGATTCTCTGGCTATATGTTCATTTTTTATGATTTGTTCCAAAAAAATTGACAATGAACTCAAATTATCGGGTTGAATTTGAGTACTTGTGTTTGATGGCTTCATCTTTACTAATATCCAACATATAAATATGCTGAAATACTCGCCTTTACTGTGTGATATGTTAACCTTGCAAAAACAACAGCTTGTCCTGGAATTGTTTTCTTCAGTCCAAATTCTTGCATAATTTGACGAAAATAAAACAATTCATCCACTCACACCTCCTGACCCGACATTGCTTTACCATCCATCATGAATTTTGGCACCATTCGGGCACATACTTGGCTCGATGCTTAACAATAACAGTACTGTACCTCAATAATCTCTCCAAGTGTCTGGATAACGGTGCTGGTATTGTTTCAATCGCAACAGGTCATGATATTGTTTTCTTTTCGCTCAAGTCATTACATATAAGTCACGTAATCAAACAGATAATAACCCGGCTGCACCCTGCACGGGAGCTCCAGTTCGTTTATGACGTGTCTGCACCTGTAATTACTCTTTGCGTTAATTACCCCCCGGGGGCCACGTGCCAGGATTCTGGAAACTGAGAATGAGCATGGTGGGAGGATGGAACCCTGCCCCATCCCTGCGCCATCCCGGGGGTCTGGCATGTGATACAATGTTACGATTTCACACATGCTGATGGTGATGACACAGGAATTGATTGAGCAATAAGGAGTTTCTGTACAGCTCTGCTTGACTTGTGTCAGTGTTTTGGCCTCATGTCAGTGTGTACGTCAAACTGAAATACAAACAAGTTCCATGTATAACTTGTGCCCGAGTATCTCAAAATCTTCAACAGTTGCTGCTGTTCATAGCTTCAAAACTGTTATTTATGTCAGTTGCGTGAGGTTATGAATATTAATTAATAAAATATACGTCTTGTCAACCAATAAGCATTTCTACTGGGACTCCTCTCAGTTCGTGATAACCGTAGTTATCTGTACTACGTTTTAACGACCACGCTTACAACAACATGAGAGATATAACGAACTGCTTTTAGTCCCCCGCCTCTACTTTTTGTGGAAATGCGTATTACAAACTATGATCTTAACGAACTTAATTATTAGCGGTCCCTTTGAAGTCCTAATTACCGAAGTTTCCTGTACACATTCACATTATTAAAATAGCTGCAAATATAGACCAAGGAACTGTACATAAAGGCATTGACAATTGCTATTATCTGTTGAATGTCACGGGGATTTGGAAGTTACATGTATCTACTGGAATTCCTCATATCCATTACTAAATAAATATATGTTCTTTTTAAAACCCTGGACAACGTCCCGTTAACGGTTTATACAAATGACATAACAACACACTTCACGAGGATATCCTATTGTTCCAAGTCTATCCATTTCCATATTTCTGACAAGGAAAACAGTACAACCTGATCTAAATAAGACATGACATCACTTTACTGTGTGTTTAATATAATTACATCACATACGATCCGTCAAGCTTCCTAAAGCTTCGTGGATTCTGTTAGCTGATACGTGTACACCAGCACATACTTTCCCCCGAGGCGCCGCCAAGAGCCACCCCCGCCTTCCCGGACTCCGACCCTTGGTCCACGAAATTCTCTGGGGTGTTGATGCACATGCTGGGCGCTAATTGTCGTCGATTTCTCGAAATGATCTGTTTAGAATCGGCCAAATCTTAAAATGAGGCGGAACATTTGGTTAACACATGTGGTTCCAATATCAATCAATTTCACATTGCAACTAAAACCTCGGGAAACAAACGCGATCTGCCTTCTAAAACCCGGGGGACCACGATTTCAAAGAAGCACATGGGTGCGTCGAGAAGGACTTCGACCAGAGAGCATCCGAAGTTAGAAGAGCAGAATGGATATATTTTATCTTACAATCTTCCCTAGTAAATCAAGTCAAGTTGAACAGAAAAACATTTATCTATGTTTCATTTTTCGATTCGACCTGCTCTGGAATGTTAATTTAAGTTTCATTTGTCATTTGCGGAAATTTATGGCGGCCCGTGCTTTGTATGTAAACACAGTTTGACGGCCTCTGTAGGTGGTGTTTTCACTTGTTCTATGTTTACTCTGTGTTTATTGTGGTTCTCTAGCCACGATATACTATCTTTCCTCATAGGGCGCTCCCCACCTTCTTTAAAGTAGAAAACATTCGAAACGTTTCATTTATTGCAAATATTCGACCTCCACGATATTACAGTTATAAAGACTTTAGAAGTAAATAAGTTGTATTCTTAAATGTTTGGCTATTCCTTTTATAACTTCCTCATCACGTAAAAAGGCTGTTTGATCTTAAGGATTGAAAATGCTTTGAGATAAGGCTTCATATCTAATGGCAATACCAGTTTCTTGTTAATATATATTTGCTTGTGCTTATTTTTGGATGACTTGAACTATCAGCGGAACCATGTCTTCTGGACTTACAGCCATTCAACTCTCAATAATATAACATCGCTCTATTCTCGTTATGGCATCTATATGAAGAAATGCATACACACTAATGTTTTAACGTTTCCGTTCAGGAGGCTAACTCGTAGTCTCCTAAAATATATAATTCTGATAGAATCAAACAGTTCCATGTAAATTACGAAAAGAAACCCATTGGGATGGGAAATCTGAGCCTATGGCAAATCTAGACTTACTTCATTTAGAGCTATAGTATTATAGTAAGGACAATGCGAAAGAGAAATAAATAATGTGCTTCGGGGATCGTGCGAAAATGTACACTGACTATAGATCAATATTCTTCTCTGTGCTGAATATGTTTTTTGTTTTTTTTAATATACCCCAGAAATACGCTCAGAGAATTTGTTACGAAACATGATTTTCGAGAACACTCGATGTCGTCATCGTTTTCGGGGCGGTGGGGTAGCCTTGTAGTTAAAGTGTTCGCTCGTCACGCCCAAGGCCCGGGTTCGATTCCCCACATGGGTACATAACGTGAAGCCCATATTTGGCGTCCCCCGCAGATATATGCTGGAATATTGATGTAAGCGGCGTAAAACTAAACTCACTCACACACTCGCAGTCTCACACGTTGACGGTTCAGACATAGTATTTAACCATTCTAGTAATGCTGGTTTTCTGTCGATTTTGTTATCTTTTTATTTATATTTTTATTAGCTTTAGGTATACTTTAGGTTCCAAGACTCTCTGCTGGAGATAGATGTTCTTTAGCAACAGTTAGATCTCTTGTATCGCCAATATTCTAACACAATAGCAGTTTCATTAGGTCACCTTGTTGGGGTGGCGAGGTAGTCCCGTGGTTGAAGCGTTCGCACGTCATGCCCAAGACGCAGGTTCGATTCCCCAAATGTATTACAATGTGTGAAGCCCATTTCTGGTGTCCCCCATATGATATTGAACACCTTCACTACAGAAAATAACAACAAACAAAACGTTGTGCAACTGGATCCTGGCTATAAAATAATTAGAACCGTCATTGTTGGTTTATGGTCGCAATTATAATATAATACAGGAAAACACTGTATGGGATAACATATGTGTTAATATGGGATCATGAACATAAATCCTGCACACTGTCTGTAGCGGCAGCTGGAAGATACGTGATGTATAGCGGGCTAGTAGCAGGGATATTTACTTCATGAATCACGCTGTTCGAAAATAGTCTAAAGAAGAATCCTTCCATACTATCACGTCTGGTTTTTGTTACTGAAATATAACGAAATACCAAAAGAAGAGCTCACAATGATTGGTTGTATTCTAAAGAACTGAAGTACTTGATAAAGTGATAGCATATACTAGTATAGTACTCAAAAAGGAACCCGATCTTTATATAGCTATAGTTACTCTGTCATTCCATGATAGGTGAACAATGGTGACATATAAAATATCAGGGACGAATGCATTTTAGAAGAAAAATAAAACTTCTTTGAGTGGCATTTTAGAAGTTGGCGAGTCACATACGGATACATTTTATAGATGAACAACGAATAAAGAAGTGGTTCATCCATAAAGTTCGTCCTTGTCCGAAAAATATGACGTTATCCATAATTAGCTATCGGTTCTGTGTGTTCCCTAATTTGGCAATAAGCAATAAGTAAATTAACATACAACACATAAAAATGACATTTCTTTAAATTCAATCATTCTTGTCTAAGTAACTTAGTAACTTCTTTCAGGATCCAAGGTATCACGCCTTTAATCCAGAATGTGACGATCAAGAATATCCTTACCTATTCATTTACAAAGTTTAACCTTTATCCTGATTCCAATGAAAACAGCCAATCAAATTGCTCCCACGAGCGAGACATATTTCGTGCAAAGTTAGTGTTATAAGATGGAGACGAAATTAAGTTATTTTCGTTAACAGGTCCAGGGTATTTATCATGAAGGATTACATATGAAATACACAAATGGTATATCGTTATGAAGTATTCATCTCCAACATTTCGTCCATATTAGTCTGTTTGACAGTCCTTGAACCATATTTTTTATATTTCCGTAATTTAAAGGCCTTGGATAAAGTATGTATTGATTGTTCCTCGGGTTCAAGTCCATCTCGCTGGGGCAAATTTTCAATAAAAATGGTGTCATTTGTTTCAAAGAAAATTATACTTTCAGAGACTAAGTG